ACCAGGAGACCTGCGTGGACTGCCCCGGCGACCCCAGCCGGTGCAGCCAGTGCGTTGACGGCTACTTTCCCAATGCCGACGGCGTGTGCGAGTTGGTGAGGTAGCTGATGGTGCCGGGATGGGGGCATGCATGTGTGTGAGCGGGTGGTGGTGGTGATGGTGGTGTGTGTGTGTGTGTGCGGTGGGGGGCAGGGCGGGGCGGGGGGCTCATGCTGCCTGCACACCATGTGCACCTTGCCATGATCCCACCCCCGCTCCCTTGCCCCCCGCTCTGCTCGCTCGCAGTGCGCCCCCGGCTGTGCCGTGTGCGCCCCCGACTCGCCGCAGCTGTGCCGCCTGTGCGACGCGCAGCGCGCTTTCCAGCTTGACCTGGACACCCAAACCTGCATCTTGTGCGACAACCCTGCCTGCATGGCATGCCCCGACGCCCCCAACGAGTGCCTCGAATGCAGCAGCCAGGCGGCGGCGCTGGCGCCGCACCCGGTGGAGGTGCCGCCGGCTGCGCTGGAGCCTGTCAACGGCACCTGCGTGCCCTGCCCGGCCGGCTGCGCCGACTGCACCTCCCCCGACTACTGCAGCCTGTGCAGCGCAGAGGGCCACTTTTCGAGCCCGGATGCGGGAGCATGCCTCCCATGCAGCGACCCCCGCCTGCGGCAGCTGCAGTGAGAACGGCTGCGACTGGTGCAAGGAAGGCTATGCCTTCAACACAAGCGACGTGTGCGCCCCGCTCGCACCTGGCACAGCGGCCGGCGGTCTGCCTACTGGCGCCGCCGCCTGATTGATGCCGCCGCTGCCTGCGTGAAAAGCTGCATGTGCTTCACTGTTGCCTCCCGTCTGCTAGATGTGAATCAAACTGGCATCGGCATGCTGGCGGCATACAACAACCTGACAACTGGCAGGGCGGGTGCTGCAGGCAGCAGCGGCAGCAGGTGCGCGAGGCCGCGCTGGCCTGCTGCGGTGGCGACGGGCAGCACCGGTGTGGGCAGTGTGGGATAGCCGACCCCTCAAAATAGCAACACCACTGCCGCTCTCCACCAAGCTCCCTCTGCCCTGTCTCTCCCCTGCCTGTCCCAAGTATTGCCCTGCTCTTGCCATCTTGCATTATGGAAGCAAGCAGTTGCAGCAGCGCGGCATGCACACTCAATGCCCGCCCATCCGCCGCAGCAGGGCCGGCACCGCCTGCAGCCTCGGCAGCTCCTTGTCATCCGACGGCGGCTCCATGAGCTGCCCTGGTGCCGGGGCAGCGCCCCATTGCTGCCGCGATCGCTGCTGCGCCGCCGTCGCCGCATCAGGCCAGCCCTCCGCCAGCGGCGGCTTGCCGTGCGCATGCTCCTGCTGCTGCTGCAGCGCCAGTGCTGCCAGGGCTGCCGCAGAAGCCGGCACCGCGGCGGGCGGCGCCCAGCCCTGGCGAGTGGCTGACGGCTGGGCGCGGCGCTCATGGAGGCGGGCGAGGATGCGCGGATGCGCGGAGGCGGGCAAAGTGTGACGGCGTGAGGGGTCAGCAGGGTTCCTTCGTAGCGACAAACCACAGACTCGCACATGCTGCATTTCTGCCTGCCCCCAGGAGCTCTCTGCACCACCCTCCCCCCCCCCCCCCCTTTCTACCCTAGAGCCTTGTGGTGGTAGGGGCAGTCGTCACGCAGCAGCTCCACCTCTGCCGCACGCGCCGGGTCGTGCAGCCCATCCGCCAGCAGCCCTGGGAAGGTAAATACACCTGGCTAGCTATGATCAGGTGCCGCTTGTGCATGCCTGTGTGTGCGTGTGGCTGCATGTGGCCGCAGCTGTGTGCTCTGCCTGCAGCTCCTGTGGCGGCCGCCTGGCTGCGGCTGTGTGCTGCCCCCACGGCCGCTCTCTCTCTCCCCTGCCGCGCCCACTGCCGCCTGCCAGTGCGCCATCCTGCCTGCAGCTGCTGCCTGCGCTAGCCAACGGCTGCCTGCTCACGCCTGCCCACGCTCACCGCAATCTAAAGACTGCCGTCTTTCCTCCCTGGCCCTGCCCGCCCGCCTGGCTTGCTTGTGCAGGGCGCTGGGAGACCCCGACTTCAAGACGCCGCGGCGGCTAGTGGAGGCAGAACCGGTTGTTGTGCGTGTGGAGCTGCGCCCGCACGCCGGCTCTTTCCTGTTGCTTGGCAGGTCCCCAGCAGGGCTGCCGGTGCATGCCGGCTGCGCTGCACAGCCTGTGGTGCTGCACGCTGCCAGTGCCTCCCCGACTTCCCCACCATCCACCGCTGCAGCGCAGCCGTTGCCATGCCGTAGGCCACTGCTCCCTGCTGCTGACTTGCCTGCCCGCCGCCCGCCTGCAGCGACGGCCTGTTTGATGTGATGAGCGGGCAGGAGGCGGTGGATGCGGCCTGCCGAGTGCTGGCCTCCTCCCGAGGCAACCTGTCCAGTACGCTGCGCGCCTGCTATGCCTGCTGTGCCTGCTGTCCGCATGCCATTCTGGCCGCCCAACCAGCACAACAGCATAGCACAGTTCCTGCCATATGCAAAGCGTGCTGCACGGCTGCCATTCCCTCCCCACCTGGCCCGCGGCACCAGCAGGCGCCGTGGCGGAGGCGGCGGCAGATGCTCTTGTGCACAAGGCGATGCAGGACGGCACCAGCGACAACGTCACCACCCTGATCATGGCCTTCGAATGGGATTGAGGCATGGAGCAGCAGGCGCTGCGCCGCGCAGCATGCCCAGGGGCGCGCTGGGCTCAGCTTCAGTCAGCCTGGCGGCAGCTGCCAGCGGCTGGCAGTGCGGCTGGCTGGGACTGGCATCAGGAAACGCGTGGCAAGAGCATATCGAGAATGTTGGCGAGTTACAGCAAAACAGGACTAGCATTGAGGCTGCATGCAAGACAGACTTGCAAGAGAAATGAGGTCTGTTGACAATGAAGCACAGGGAACACTCTGGATCGCAAAAACTCAAACATGCGCTGAGTCGAGCCTGGCGGCAGCTGCGGCTGGCTGGCACTGGCATCAGGAAACGAGTGCCAACAGCGTGTCGAGAATGTTGGCGACTCGGAGTTACAGCTGGCAAAACAGGACCAGCATTGAGGCTGCATGCAAGAAAGACGTGCAACAAAAATGAGTTCGGTTGACAGTTAAGCGCAGGGATTCTGGATTGCAACACTCAAAACACGTGGCAGACGGGCGCTCAAAAAATGATGCAGCGTGGACAGGCGGGGCAGGTCAGGGCTGTCGGACTCTCGGGCTCTTCATGAATTTGAAAAAAATGCAAAACAGAGGGAATGGGTGGGTGGCGCTCAGCGAAAGGGATGGCCAGTCGGCTCTGCAGGCTCCCATCAGTAGGAGGGATGGGCAGGAGGGCTGGGCAGGTGCTGTGACAGCAGCAGCTCCCACCCCACGAAAACTGCATGTAAGGGTTGCACTCCAGCATATTCGTTTGTTGCGGATGGCTCTGGTTGGGCGGCAGTCACTGAGGCGCCTGCCGGCTGCTGGTGCACGTGCTGCCGGCTGCTGGCGCACCGCATGGGTGGCGCTCGCCTCAGCGGGACGAGCTCCCTACGGCTGGGGCAGTCCAGGAGGCGGTACTGGCGGTCACCCTGGAGCCAGCGTATGCGGCCTGCAGCTGCTCATAAAACAGCTGTGCAGCGGAGCCCATGAGCAGCGCCGTGGCGTCGGAAGCTGCCAGGAAGGTGATGGACAGCTCGCCTGTACTGCCGAAAAAGAAGGCCATGGCGTAGCCGTCGCTGCAGAGTGGGCTGGGGGGGCAGGTCGATTGGTTGGCGGCAGGGTGGCGCAAAGGAGGTGCCAAGCGCAGGCAATGGCCACGTGGCCATGCTGTGCACAGCATGCTGGCGACCCGGTGCCGGCACCCTGGCAAAGGAAGCAGCAGCAGCAGCTCGCCTGCAGGAAAACAACCCAACATCTGGGGTGGCGGCTTCCTCTTTGGGAAAGGCCTGGTGGTAGCGGCGCAGCACCGGCAGCCCGCTGGCCAGCAGCGCAGCCTCCAGCATGCCAAGAAGAGAGCCCATTGCCACACCAGCAGGGCTTGCTGTGCCAGACTCGGCGCTGGATCCCGTTTCGCCCTCGGCCAGCACAGTTGCTGGCTGTGGTGGCGGTGGGGCCAGCGCCAGGCTTGCGCGCATGAGCAGGTGACGCGACGTGTGGCCAGGCCAGCAAGCAGCGGCACCCTGGGCGCAGGCGTTGACATCAATCCTGTGTGGCAGGGTCCATAGCAGGATGCATGGCAGGGTGAGGCAAAGGCGCAGGCACTCGCACAGCCGCCGACAGCAGCCCGCCAGCAGCTCTGCCCGGCCGTGCAGCACAGATATCGCCCGCATGGGCGTCTGGCACAGACTCTGAGTAGGCCGATGGCACACTGGCACTGCCAGCCGTGCCGCTCACCTGACTTCCGAGGCAGGGGAGGGGCTGCTGGGGAGCTTGGCGTCTGCGCTGGCCTCAGCCTGAGGCTTTGGCCGCTGGGTGGCTCGGGGGCTGTGCGGCCCGAAATGGTCCAGCCACGTCTTGGCCGCCACCATGGTGCAGCCAAAGCCTGCAGCTTGAGGCGGGGCAGGCAGGTACTGCAGGGCATCCGTTGGTGCTGGCTGCAGCTGCAGCTGCGCCTGTACACGCAACCTGCAATGTAGCAATGCAGCACTGCAGCTGCAAGCCAGTGGCCGCGCTGCCTGCCTGCCATGCCAATCTCAGGGGCAGCCCAGGCAGAGGCAGGCAGCCCCACCTAGCTCCACCAGGACGCACACCCAGCCCGCAAAGGCGCCCTCGTAATACCTGCGCCAGCAGGAGCGGCGGCGCACCGAGTGGGCTGCAAGAGTACGGCGCCGCTGTTGGCAGTGGCAGGAGGTGGTGCACACCCCGGCGCTCGCATACACAGCTGCACTTGCAAGACCGCTGCGACGCGGTAGACAGATGGTGCCAGCAGTGGGAGGGAGGGGAGCAGGCGCCGCCTCAGGCTCACAGATAGATGAAGGTGAGCAGCAGGCCCGCGTCGTACATGCAGAGGTACAGGTAGCTGAGGTCCCGGGCGCTGCGGGTGCGGTACAGCTTCCACAGCTGGGGCGCCAGGCAGGCCGCCAGCACCGCGCCTGCAGGTCGGGGACGAGGTGTGCGGTGGAGTGGGGCAGGCCCAGGCACCTGTGTGCAGGGGGGCCGGCAGGCTGCCAAGGGCCGCAGGCGACGCACCTCCCAGCGCCCCGATCACGCTGTTGGCCTCCTGGCTGGGGGCCATGGTTCAGGGCATGCACTCAAAACAAGCAGAGCCTGCAGGTGCGAGGAGAGGCGAGTGGGGATGCTGCGCCGCCACCGGCGCCGGTGGCCGCCGCCCATGGCGGCACGGTGCAGCCTGCGCGATGCGAGGTGCCGCGACCCACGCTGCGCACCCGCAAGTCAGATAAACTGTGAGGCCGGCACTAAAGCAGCAGGAGGTGCATTCGCGAAGCTCTCGATGCTGTCTCTCTAACTTCACTCTCGGACTCACTTCCCGCTGCCCGCTGACGCTGCGAAAGAAAGGAAGCTGCGAAAACCTTAGCTGGCAGAAGAGAAGGGGGATCGGCGGGTCGAGAAGAAAGCCGCTGCCGCCGCCGCGCGTCGCCTCTGGGGTCTAACCCAGCGCCGCCCAGGCATGGGCCGAGGCTCTGTTGAAATCTGCCCACCGACCA